ATAGGGTTTTGATTACCACATGTGGTTATCTCCTTTGGCATTAATACAAAAATAGTTGTCTTATGTAATGAGATAATCTCCATAGTGCATCATAGGATTTAAATAAAGTCTTCAGTTTTGAAGAGATAACATTTAAAATTTCAAACCCAGTACCAAAACAACATTTTCCCTCATAATTTTTTTAGGAGAAAGTAAATGTTACTTTTGGGTTGCGTTTCTTCAGGGGCCATCTGTATCATTAGTAGTGAGTTTATACTTGAGGGCCTTGGCCTTAAGGCTCCAGTCAACTTAGGCATGATGGATCAAAGCCTTTGCTCCAACACTGTCAAACATCGGTCCATACTTCCTGGACAGATTGTGAACAAGCATAAATAGAAGCAGTTCCTATACAGTGATAACCCTTTGCACTAATTTATGGTGCCCAGGGACCCAACAGAATGACTTTTGTTCATCTTCCTTGAAAAGGTTCCCTCAAGTTCTGCGTCCTGGCGAGCGATATATCCGTGATGAGGTACCATTTTCCGATTCACGAACATGGGATGTCATTCTGTGGCTGAAAAGATTTACATCGCTTCCAATCGTGCTGAAAGGTATACTCACAGGTGAGAATGACAGCTGCATCGTCAAGTACCGTAGCTGTAGGTTTGATTTGTGTAGGCCTTGGCATAAGTGTGACTACCTCTGTGTTTTCTAATGCGAAACATCCCAAATGCAAGTACTCATTCCTGCATGTATAACTTTTCCTCAGAAATTGCAAAAATACGTTTACAGCACCAAATTCCTCAATCTAATACAAAGTAAAACTTAAAAGTTGCTCTGGAGACTTGTGACTAATTTTTACAGAGCGTGTCACCTATACAGCATTAGGAAAGCTTGATTTCCAAGAAATCCCACAGGCCCTAGAATTTGGGATTTCAGTCATTTAATAGTTCAAGGTGCCACACAAGCATACCATTAGGTCTAATGCAGTAAAGACATGCTGGAAGAAGTAACTGTGTACATGATGCTGCTCTGTGCATTAAAATTGAGCTTCTTTAATGTTGTGAGACCATCTTTTCACCTTCTTCAATTCCTATATTACAGCTGAAGATGCAGTGGAAGCTGTGAGGCATGGTGCAGCTGGTATCCTGGTGTCTAACCACGGTGGCCGACAGCTAGATGGGGTACCAGCTACGGTAAAGTCTAAATCAGCTACATGTAGGTGCCTCAGAATAACACGCCTACATGAAGTGGGTGCAGTCACGAGCCTCTGCCAGCTTCTGTAGTCAAACAGTTTATTTCCTGCTGGCAACAGGCAGATTCTTGATGCAGATTGATACTTCAAAATACATGGACATTGCTCAGTGTACCTAGACCTGACAGCTTAGTGAATCATTTGGGCTTTTCCATTTCCCACCTCTTGATACATGTAGTACTGAACTGAAAACACAACGCACAGAGTTGTGTGTACAAAACGCAGTAGCGCAAGAACCAGCACATGAACCAACAGGTGCCAGTACTCCATTCATTTAGACTGCAATTCCTGGTCCAAAGTGGCATCACACTTCAGTACTCAATAGGCCTGTAGCTGAAATTTTGAAGACTGATTTAATATCACCAACAGATCGATGTCTTGGCAGAGATCGTCGATGCAGTGCGTGGCTCTGGTGTGGAGGTGTATCTTGATGGAGGAGTACGTAAAGGCACCGATGTCCTCAAAGCCCTTGCCTTGGGCGCACGAGCCGTCTTCATCGGCCGACCAGCACTGTGGGGCCTGGCTTACGATGTACGTATTAAAATCTTCAAGCTTAGCTGTGGTCTAAACAAGGACATGGAAATATCACCCTTTTCAGCAGAAGCGCATTTAACAGCTAATCAAAAACAAACTTACCAGAGTGTGAATGCCCTGATTCAGGAAATGGAGTACATCGTACTAGATTGCCATTGGAAAGCATCTTCCTAAGCAATAAACTCTTCCATGGATA